AATATCTCTTTTGTAAGAGAATTCAAATATAAAGAATTTGTATTTTATTTACTTTAAATATAAAAAAACCAATTTATTTGAATGTCTTCATTTTCTTGTGTTTGAACTTATACACAAAATTTATGTCGACAATAGACCTATTCATTGGCCGGGCTTTGGGCCTAACTTTACACCATGTCAGGCTTGGGCTTCGGGCCAGGCCCATTCAAAATTTGGCAAAAGCCAAGCCCGAGCCCAGCCCATGAAACGCTCTAGTCAACAACTCCGAAGAAAGAGAGAATTTTACTCTCACCCAAATTTTTATTTCATATTCGGATTCTATTGAATTGGTTAATTGTTAGAAAATTATAATTCGAAACCTAATAGCTAAAATCAATAAAAAAATATTAAATTTTTATCTAGAAACTATTAAAAATTAATAAACTAATAAAAATTAGTATTAATAGATAGCCCAACCTGGCTAGACCTATAAATTTCCAAAGTAAAGCAACTTTTCTTATAAATTAGGTCTAGCTAGGTAAACGGATTTGATTTGGATAAGATCCAACTACATCTGCATCAACATTCGATTATGAAATCTCTTTATCCACACCCACATCTAATTATTATGTTGGATTTCGATTTAAATATGCAATAATCTTGTTGTGTTTAAAATGACCCAAAAATTTAAAAGTAAAAAAAAAAACTAATTATTTTAAAGTATATATGTATAATAAATGTGCATAAATGTAAGATATGAAATTTATTAGTTATAAGCTTTATAAAATGACACATAATATCTATATGTATACTTATATAGATTGGATGGGGTTAAATTTGCATCCAATCTGATTATTAATCAAATGCAAGTTATAACATCCAAATCTGGGATAATTAGATACGAAGTCTAATCGAGTATTAGATTGTTGGAGTCCAATGACGACCCTAGCAGATAGGGCCCAAGCTAAGCAACCCCTAAGCTCAATTTAGAAGTTATATGTATATATGGTAAATGTTATTATATAATATTTAAATAACACATTTTATATTAATATCCAAATAGACATCTTAATAGGGTAAGTCTGACTATTTTCTAAGCCTAGGCAAATATTATTACGCTTGAGGTATGGGCCATCCTAGGCCAAATGACCTTAAAAACTATTAATATACTATCAAAATTTGCCCCGAGATCTTTTATTAATTATTTTCATTTGGTTCATTGGCCTACACAATGGGGGTAGCCCATCCCCTATAGCTCCTTTGTCTTCAATATTATCTAAAAATAGTTAAAAACACAAAAGTAAATGCATGCATGGGTTGCAATCGGTTTGATTTAGTCCAATTATGAATGTCACATTGCTCTTAGGGGTGCAACTTGGGTGGGTTGGGTCAGGATGGGGATCAACCCAAGCCTAACGACCCGAAGTCTTAAACATCAAGCTTTGGTTTAGATTAATTTAGTTATGACTAAAAAAGTTGATATATAGATTAATTTAATTGACTATAGCCTAATTTTATATATTTACTAATTTTTAAGTAATATTTACAAAAAATGTAACAATTAATCATTAATAAAGTAAAATAAAACAAATATGGAAAAATAATTATTTTATAAAGTAATTAACAATACTTTATTATTTTTAATAAAATTTATTAATATAGTTAATCCAAATTACTAAATTTACTAAATTAGTAAATTAAACAACATTGCGTCCATTCCTTTGTTATAAGTTTTGATTGTTTCACTTTTCCTTCATAAATGTTGTGCATCACATGGGTCGCTGCTAATATGCCTAAGTATTACAAGAGTTGACCCATGTTAACAAATGGAATATTGGTGTGTTCCTTGTGATTAGTAGACCTATTCATGGGTTAGGTAGTCCAACGGGCTGGCCGGCTTTTATTTTTTGGATTTGGACAAGACTTCAGGCCCATGGGCTCAGGTTTAGGCTTTAAATACCATGCCCAACTATTTTTTGGACTAGTCTCAGCTTTCTCAAATAAGCGCAACCTTGATACTATTACATATAATAAAATCATACATTAATTATATATAATAAATATGTATAATATATATTAATTTATTAAATTATTATCAAATGTTAATTTATTATTCAGAAATATAAAATAATTTATTAAATTATCATGAAATTATTTACAATATTAACTTATTCAATTACGCAGGATATTTTATGTGCAGACCAGGCTTCGGGCTCGAGCCTAAACATTTTCTGTTGTTGATAAGGCAAAGCCTGCCCGTTACGTAACAAGTGAAATACGAGTTCAGACGGCCATTGCAGCTGCACATTTGGTAGCATCTTCCTTTTAACGACAAGAGAAGAGAGAGAATCCTAGTGTGCGGCTGCAGAGGTATCAGATCCCTACTCTTTGTTGGGAGCGTTTCGTTGGTATCAGATCCCTACTCGTGAAACACAAGAGCAAATCAGCCCCTAACAAGATTGACCCCCACAAGAGAGAAAAAAATCCGGATTCGCATCTGGCCCCACAAACTTGCCCCCCCCAAAAACGTCCCATTAAACCTATGCGCGACGCGTGTTATGATACACGCGCACTAGGTGCAACGCGTGCGGACTCTATTTGACGCCGTTTCCAACACCTCCGTTAATTCCTCTCTCGCCCAAAAGGGTTTTTTCTTCCGTTCTTCTCCCATTCTACTTCCAACTGAAACCTTAGCGACCAAAAGGATTTCCAGCACCTCCGGTCGAGTTCCGCCGGCCATACCGGCAGGAGGTAAGTAGATATGTGTTGTTTAAGAAGTAAAATAAAAGAAAACCGGTTTCGATTAATAAGTGTTCGAGTTCCTAACTACTTCCCACTAAAACTTCGACGACGTAACCTTGTTATGCAATTAATGCTGTTTAAGAAGTAGAATAAAAAAAAAAATACTACATATATGTGTTTTTTAAGCCCAGGCGGTGATTTTTTTTTTTTGGGAAAATGCCCACACTAATTCATTCAACAATCAAAGTTGATTGTAAGATCTTAATTGGAGCAAAAGTAACTTAGAAGGAATCGGGGTGATGCAACAAAATACACCTGCAACTAGAAATGAGATTAATCTTCAAACGTAGCATTGGAGAGACTAAGAGAAATTGCAAACTGGATAGCTTCAGACTAGCTAAGGTGGGTGAGATGAATCCCCCAACAAGTGGTGCTAAGTGTAGGCAAAGCATGAACCGAAGGGGCAAGAGGTAGTGATGTAGAGACAATACAATCAACTCGGACGCCAAGCAAATCGATTAGGTCTGAGCTAATCGACTGGAGGTGCTGGCGGCCGGTATGACCGTCGGCGTCGGCCGGCGGAACTCGACCGGAGGTGCAAAAGCCTTCTGGACGCAAGAGTTTTATAGTTCGAAGTAGAATGGGAGAAGAAACCCTTTTGAGCGAGAGAGAAATTAACGGACGTACTGTAACGGCGTGAAATAGAATCCGCACGTGTCGCGTATAGTGCGCGTGTGTCATAACACGCGTCGCGCATAGGTTTCGTAGGACGTTTTTGGGGGCAGATGCGAACCCGGAAAATCCGGCCTCCGTGCGAACTTTCTCTTTTCTTGCCCCCCTCTCTCTACTGTTGCAAACCATCCCCTTGCTCTTCCTTGCAACTGAATGGTACTCTCTCGCTCTCTCCACAAGAAATAGACTTTGGCCAGCAAATTCTGCCAGCGGTATTCCAGTATTCACTGTCATATATAGCTTTTAATTGGCGGTTCTGTTCGACTAGGGTTTAGCCGTTTAGGTCATTTTTGGTTCAGAGGTTGTGGTGGGTGTTGTGTGCTTGAAGTTGACAAAGTGAACTTCCAATGAGTTAGTTCTCTTTGGTAAACTCTTAACTTTATTTGTTTTTTTTTTGTTACTTTTAATTAATCGGTTAACAGAAGAATATGGGACCTAGAATGTTTCTACTGATATTTTCGCTTTTCTGGTTAAACATGAATTTTATTCATGAAAGGAGGGTTTTATATCGAATAAGCGTAAATTTTATTCATTAAAAACCGGGTTTATTCATGAGAATTTCTATTTCCATTGATTACACTTGTTGGGTTCTAAAACGTGGAGATGCATTTGATTCAAAATGTTGAAACATTCTGTTCTCTCTCTCTCTCTCTATATATATATTATTTCTAATTTTTTATTTTTGATGGGTCAAGAAGTTATGATTGTACTCTATGTGAGGATGTTTTGTGAGATCTTAAAAAATGTGTGGTGTTTTGTAAGGTCTGACTGGGGCTGGGTGGTTGTCCTAAGTTTTTGTGTTGTTGGGAGAGTATGTTGCCTGCAGCGGTGGATGAAGTGAGTGGTTGAGGAGTTGAGTGTGTTGGAGGTTGTTTTATTGTCTTTCTCCTCTTGGGTGACTTCTGATCACCTTACTTGTAATTTCTTTTTTTCTTTAATAAATTTTTATTTTATCTTAAAAAAGAATGATTTTTGATATCTTGGTTGAAGGTTTAGAGCATAAAGTTTAGCAATTAAGAGAAATTCTATAACTGCAATCTGAAATTAAAGGTCTTTAAACCACCCTACCTCTTGCTTAGCAATTAACAAAAAAGTAATGCCCATGCATTCAGAAAAAAAAGTTTTAGCGTAAATTGCAGAAAAATTTCATTTCCTGAATGTTAGGTAGTGTCTAATGATCTAATTTAGTACTGATTATTGAATGAGAGGAAGAGAAGTTCTATGGATATACAGAAATTCTGAAAGGAGGATACTGGGTATGTTCTCAGGATTGATTGGCCCACTGGAAATTCACTGAAGGCTAAATTTTTGGCATTACTACAAGGTTTAAAGCTAGCCAAACAGTTAGGATACAGGCATGTTGAGGTGGAAGGGGACTCAAAAGTAGTCATATCCTGGGCAGCAAACAGCAGCCATATCCCGTAGACGTTTAAACACGTGATTAGGGAAGTGGAGACGATTGCAAAAGAGGTTGAGGCTGAATTTAAGTGGGTCCGAAGGAGCGCAAATGGGCTAGCTGATTGTTTAGCAAAACAAGGGACATTGAAACAGCAATTATTTTGGGCTGCACTGTAACAAGGGAAAGAAAAGAGGGATTAAAGGGATCATCAGTCCCATCACCAAGTTGTATGAACTGTTTACAATCTGAAATTTAAATAAAATACATGTTTACTGTAACAAAAAAGTTCTATGGATATGCAAGTGTGTGAGTACTTACAATAAGCTGAAAGGCTAAATTGGTATCATAGTCAAGGTCATAGAGATAATATTTGGAGAAATTGGGAAGGGGTAGCAAAAAGCTTTTCCAACAAGGTAAGGGCTATTGCAGACTGGATACCTCCTGTAGTAGGCTTCATTATGCTCAAATTTGATGGCAGCAGTTTAGTCAATCCAGGGCCTATTGGGATTGGAGGAGTTTTCAGAAACAGAGAGGGTCATGTTATTGCTTTGCACTCAGGGCCGGCAGGTTTTGGGGACTCTATACATGCTGAATTCCAGTTAGTGATGCAGGAGCATAGCTTGTCAGAGATTTGATGCTGACAGATTGCTTATTGAAAGGGATTCCAAACTAGTTGTTGGGTGGTTAGAGGATCTAGATACAGTATTGTGGACTTACAGGGAAGCAGTGGAAAGGTTTAAATGGCTAACAACAAACATGACTGTGAGAATTCAGTGGGAAAGAAGATCGGCTAATGGGATGGCAGACCATATAGCCAAGCAAGGGGCTTTTAGGTACCATTTTTACTGGGATCAGTTGTAATTATCTTTGTTTTTGAGGCTGCAACTTGCGCCCCTGTGTGGGAAGCATCCATTTGTACACTTTGTTGGTTAATATTTAATTAATAAAGTTAATATTTTACTGATCAAGAAAAAAAGAAGATTAAGATAGGCAGGCCCTTTGTTTCCCTTTCTTTTTACTTTTATTGCTGATTTTTTTTTGATCAGTAATCAAGGGTATTTCATTTCATCACGGGTAAAAGAGATTACAGATTCAGATCAAATTAGACAAAAAAGAGACACAACTTTTTCCAATTTACAAAGTTATCCCAAGTCTGCTCAGAATAGTTGATCCCTATGTACCCCTTGCTTTGCCAACGTGTTGGCCATCCCATTTGCTGTTCTCTTTACCCATTTGAAGCTTGCCTTGAGATCCTTAGCCAAGTTCTTCATTTCTCTTATTAGATGTCTGAACTTCCACACTCCTGGATTGTTGTCATCCATCCAGGAAATTACTAATTTTTAATCACCTTCTATTTCTAAGTTCTTTAAACCCCACTGTTTTTCTAGTTTCAGGCCTTGAAGTAAGGCTGATATTTCTGCTCTTGCTGAATCCCCTACTCCTATTGGTCCTGAGAATAATGTTACCACTTTCTCTGCTTCATCCTTGAACACTCCTATTCCTGACAGCCTAGGATTTCCTAAAGAGCTTCCATCAAAATTAAGCTTTAGTCTGTTTGATTGAGGAGGTTTCCAGTCCAAGACTATTCTATCTTTCACAACTGCTGAGTTTGCCATTTCATACCAAGCTATGATAATATCATCTATTGCCACCAATTTGAAAGCTTCCAAAGATTTTACCCAGATTACTGTTTTGATCCTTATGCTTTCAATAATGTCCTCCATGTTCCTTGCCTTGTCTTTAAATAGTCTTTCATTTCTTTCCTCCCATAGTGTCCATATTGTTGCTTCCTTTGCTGTCTTTCATAGGAATCTTCCTCTCTTTTTTTCTTTCCTGAAGAAAGTTGGGTTGAACAGAGCTGGATAGTCCTGTGGAGGGTCCCACTTGCAACCAAATAGAGAAGAGATGCACGACCAAACAAAAAGTGCAAAAGAGCAGGATAGTAGTAATGGGAAGTAGTTTCACCATTTGCCTTACATAAGATGCACATATGGGGGGATAAGCATTTGTTTGGCGTTCTTCTCTGGAGCACATCACAGGTATTTATCTTTCCCAGGTGGTAGACTTCCCAACAGAAGGCTTGGACTTTTGGGGGAATAGGCTTACTCCATATTACTTTTGCAGGAAAATAACCTCCCCTCCCTGAATCTAAGGAAACTAGAGTGCCAAAAAAAGAAGCACAAGAGAAAGATCTTGAAGGGAAAGGTGTCCAAACTCTATTATCTTCCACCCTTAAATCCAAAAAAACTGACCCCAAAACATGTAACAAGTTTATCACTAGTTCACATTCTCTGTCCCTTAAACCTCTTCTAAAACCAAAGTCCCAGTTTAGACTTGAAGAAGAAAGACTCCAAAAACAAGCAATGAGCTTCTTTTTAAGGTTAGAAAGTGCAAAGAGCAAAGGGAATTGAGATTTGGGGGGTATCCCCCACCCAAACATCCTCCCAAAAGGCCAAAACAGGATCTTGTTACCATTTTCTACATCAAATTTTGTAAAATTCCAAAAGGTAGGAAGTACCTCATTTATGGCTTTCCAAGGGGAAAAACCTGAAGCAAGAGGTGAGATCTTTGCATCCCATCCGTTGCCTGAAGCACCATGAATGCTCACTATGACTTTGTGCCACAAACTCTCCTTCTCCTGAGGCAAGCGCCACAACTATTTCCCGAGTAGAGCTGTATTCCTATCTTTCAAGTTTCCCAGACGTAGTCCCCCTTGACTCTTAGGTCTACACACTATCTCCCGCTTCACCAAGCGATCCTTCCTTTCCTCCCCTAGTTCCCAAAGGAAATCTCTCATGATTTTCTCTAGCTCCCGTGCTACTTTGGTTGGGATTCTAAATGTAGAGGGAATAAATTGGAAGATTTGTGAGGGTCGAATTAATCAAAGTAATCCTTCCCCCCAAAGAGATGTAGTTTCTCTTCCAAACTTCAAGCTTCGTTGTAAGCTTCTCCAAGACTGGCTTCCAAAAGAATTCAGATTTTGGGTTTCACCTAAGGGTAAACCTAAGTAGGTTAATGGCCAAGAGCCTAGTTGATACCCCAAGCAATCAACTAAAGCTTTTACCTCTTGCACCTGTGTATTTACCCCTACCAGATAGCTCTTCCCCAAGTTTATTCTCAGTTTGGAGCTACACTCAAAAGCCAGATGATTTCCATTCCTCACTTCCTTCCTCACAGAAGATAATATCATCTGCAAAGAGGAGGTGTGTCACAACTACTTCTTGTCTCCCTACTCTCCAACCCCTTATACTATTACTTTCATATGCCTTTGAGATTTTAGTTTCAAAGGCTAATAATTAGAGAGTGGAGGGTGGGTAGGGGAGATGTAGTAGTGACCCACTTGCATCATGTAGATGACATTGTCTTATTTTGTGAAGGGAAAGGGGAGGGGGGGAGTTAGGAATCTAAAGATGTTAGTTACACTTTTTGAGAGAATCTCAAATCTCAAAGTTAACTTTGAGAAGTGTTGCATTGCAGGGATGGATTTGGACTGGGGGGGGGGGACTAGAAAGTGTTGCCTTCATGTTGGGGGTCTGCAAGAATAGGATGGCCTATCAGATGCCTTATTAGGCAATGGCTTTGGAGAAGTTAAGTGAGGAACATGACTTTATTAGGAAAATGGCTTTTGAGATTTCTTTTATACAAAGACATTGTGGCACCGAGTGACGTCGAGCATTCATGGAGCAAACGCTAATGGGTGGGATGTAGGATTAAATGCAAGATCTAACCTCTCATGTCCTTGGAAAGCTATAGCGGGTGGGCTACAACTCTTCCTTAAGCACATTGGATATGATTTGTGCAACTCTTCCTTAAACATATCGAATATGGTTTGTGCTTAGGGGATATGATTAAATTTCGGTCTAATGTGTGGCAAGGAAAACCAATGTTTAAAAGATCATTTCTTTAGCCTTTTTACCATCTCTTGTTTTTAGTATGATGTTGCTTAATTCAACTTCCCTTTCAAATCTAGTCTTAATTGGTTAATTGGGATTTTGGGTTTAGGAGAGGATTGAGAGACTCTGAAATTCCCTCAGTCATTTTACTTAATTGGTTAGTCTAATCTGTTTTGGATCCTTTTCTTTCGCTTCCTTCTCTCTCTCTCTCTCTCTCTCTCTCTTTCTCCCCCCCTCCCATGCATAGGAATCATGTAAAGACTTTTCTAGTAAGGGAGATTTGGTGGGGTCCAGTGCATTGTGAAGGTGACGCCTAGGCGACAAGGCGCCCTTGGAGGCTCTCACCTCGCCTAATCGCCAAGTAGTTTTGTATATCGTGTTATAAAATACTTTTATATTCTTAACTTTTTTGAGATTATAATTATAAAATAGACATTATTAAAGTAAAATATTCATTTTGTGTGTTGATATACTAATTTCTTTTTATTATTTTCTTATTTGTTAGGGTTTAATCAACATAGACATTGCTAACTGCAGTATTGAACCCTCAAAGACTACAAAACCTTAACCAATAAGTAAGGAAGAACTTAAAATTTTATCTAATCAACACATTTTCTTCTTCCACCTTTTCTTTTCTTCTTTTCCTATGACAAAAATAGGGGTTCAATCCCTATATTTTTGAATTTTCTTTTCTTTCTTCTTTTTCTTCTCATGCATATGTTGATTTTCTATACTTTAACATGATATTGATACTTTTCTTATAAAAATTATGGATATTATTAAGGAAATATGGTTATGAAACCTAGGGAACTACCTGTGGATATATGTTTTTAAGTTAAAAAATCCATTGCCTAGGCGACACCTAGGCGATTATCTCCCCCTATTACCTAGCCTTGTTTGGCACCTTGAAAACTATGGACCTAACATGAGGGATTTTTGCTGGAAAGTTTATCATGTAAATATCAATTCTTCTTGTAAGACTCTTCAAAGAAGAAGATCCAACTGCTGGTCTCTCCACACCTGTACCTCCTTTGTAAAGCAAGCGGGGAAGCTCTTACCATTTGCTAATCCACTATTCTTTTGTTACTAGAATCTAGGATTGATTTTCTCTTTGTTTACAAGAAGGTGCTCTCCCTTATCAAACATAGAGAACTTATTCAGTGCATCTTTATTTAGGCCTCTAAGAAAAAGAGGTAGGCTTCTATGGAGATGCATTAAGGCAGTCATTCAAACAATGGGATCTTCAATAACAGAGAGATCAAGAGATTCTTTGATTGAAAGCATCACAATAAAGTAGCATATTAGGTTATGGAGACAACTCTTTCATCTCTTCTCCTTTGATGACATCTCAATAGGATGGAGTTGGATTGCAAATTCTTCTTTAGCTTCTCATGAATAAGTAGACATTGGGAACCTCCCACTTAATTTTGATAGTTGCAACAGGGGCAACCCCAACCCTTAAGGCATTTGGGGTTTGGAAACTGGAGAGGGAAAAATGTTAGTAGTGTTTTCTGGTCCTATTGGATTTGGCAGCTCCACCAAGGCGAAACTTGTAACAACCCTTCAAGGGTTGAACTGGCTAAATCTCTCAATTGTAGGAACCTAGAAGTAGGAGGTTCAAAAGTTGTAATCAAATGGCTGGAACAAATGGATTTAATTCTGTGGCAGTACAAGGAGATGATGAAAGAAATCAAGGCAATCTACAGGGACATCAACTTCAAGACCAAATGGTACATAGATCTACCAATGCATTAGCAAAACAGGGGGTTACTAGTGGGGGCTTGTTTTGGGAGACAGTAGGGTCTGTTATCTACATTGATAATATACAAGGGTCCCGTTGAGAGGTCTGTTCTTAGTTCTTTGAACAGTAAATAGCCTTCCATTATGTTTTAGTATTCAATTTGTGTTTTTGTAGGTACCTAGTCACATTAAAGTCTTGTCTGTCATAGAAGCTGTTCTGAGGGTTCTATTGTAGAGGGTATCATAGCGAATCAATGCATGGATTTTTTCTCAAGGTACTTGTCTGGTATTGACTGTTGAGATGTGAGTGCGTGACTAAAATAAACCTGTGTAAAGGGGTGGGAGAGATTCCAACAAGAAAACGAACACGACTATTTATTGAGAGACAAGGAACCTTAACCTTTCTTCATAACTACCTAATCAAATAAACACAATATTTCTTCTAGGCATCTTCTTAGACATTCTGCTTTGGATCATTCTATATTTGCTTTATAATAGCAGGCTTCAATTTTGGGCTTTGGATAGTGGCCTTGCAAATTCCATTAGTGTGAACTTGTCTTACACTGTTGGTCCCAAGCCTGGATAAAGGATGGTTTCATCAGGTTTACAGCTGCCACTAAAACTTTTGCCAAACTCCTGTGATCATGAGTGGGTAGTGGTCCTGCAAAAAGAGAGCCCATTAAAGTTTGGGGCATATAAATAGCAAGAGAACACTATGGGTATGGGCCTATGCATGGCCTAAATGAGTAAGGTTAGTTCATGCTACATCATGGTGTTTTACCCTGCTTTAGTTGCTAAAGTATTGGCCATAACATTAGCAGACTGTGGCACCCACTTGAACTTACTTTGGACAGTATTTTGGCAGTTAATCATTTAAAAATATAGAGGTTTGCTGATAGAAAATTCTTTCTATCTAAGAAATAAGTGCTTCATGTGCAAAAGATGTGAAAATGTGGGATTGTGGATTTTTTGTCCTTTCTTTTTTTCTATTTGAAATACAATAGTTTGGACCAACATAACAACAGGAGATCTTCTCTCGGCCTATTATTGCTGGTAAGAAAGTAAAGATTGTTTTGACTGTAAATTGTAAT